TGGCTTTTTTACATTTCTAAAGGGCCGTTGCATGTTCTTTTTTGGAGGCTGATGCCCCCATCGTGTACCTCTACAAGTGCTGCTATTTTATCAGGGAGGACTTCCGTAACGAGCGACCACTATGAGACAAAGTAGAATAGAATAGAATAGAGGAATAGAGGGCTACTTTTAAGTGTAGGGGTGGGGTTAGGTCTCTTCTTTATTGTGTTTTTTGGGGTGGGGGTGAAGCGTGCGCCGAATTTTCAGACAATCTTGTTGAGGCTGGCATGCAGGTCTAACAAGTTTATGTGTGTTATTGATTGCCCTCTTTACAAGCCTTTTCATCTCCAGAAATGGCACCTAAAAAAATTGCTATCGAATAGAATCCGATGCGATAATCCACTGGTTTGCTTATTTGGTGATTTGTTTCTTTCACTGTCCAATGTCTGCTCATCCAGTGAAAGATTGCCGATAATTTAGCTGCAGCCTGGCTTTTGGTTGAAATGCGAGGGGCCAGTGATTGTTGGGATACTCACAAAGTGGGTAGTTGGGGGTAACCACCGGTAGCTTCTACTTCTTCACTTTCCATCTTCGTTGCTGACTGTCTTGTTATTTCCCAGCTCTAATAACCATATTTGTACAACTCTTTCCACAGGCGTGTTTATTGGCAGGGGAGGCAGAGAGGATGTATTGTTGACAAAGAACTTTGCTGTTGGAGAATCTGTCTATGGAGAAAAGAGAATTTCTATTGAGGTATGCTTCAACATGTTTGTTTACACAGATGGTTGGCTGCTTCGTCTATATGTTACCTTTATATACATAATGTTTTGCAAGTTGCGGAACCTTGCTATACGCTGAGGCCCATAACTTGACTAGGTTCAGTCTTGAGAAAAACCCACTTTTTATTTGAAATGGGATCTTTTGTCCATTTTCTCCATGAAAAAAAAGTAAGACTGCATGTAAATTCAGTTCATCTTGTTAATGCTTTTTACTATTGTTTTAGCAGGTGATGTTATGCAAAATATAGAGACATCATCCAGACTTTAATGATTTTTTGCTAATGTCTTGAAAGTGGGTGGGTGGCGGGTGCTCTGGTGTGGTTTGCTCCTTCTTTCCTATCAAACATCTATGGTCCTTGTCTCTCCTTCTTTTTTGTGTTTGCTCCTCTCTTGTAACACCTCTGATCCTTGCCTTGGCACTTGTATTCTATTCATGACACAGTTCTACGTGCTTTAATACTCTTGTCGTGTCTGTGGCCTAGTGGTTAGGCTACTGGACTCGTAATCTTGAGGTTGCGGGTTCGGTAGTTCAAGCCGCAGGCCCGACTTTTTGTCCTTGGGAAAGGCACTTTTTAATGCTGATTTTCCTCACTTTACCAAGGTGTGAATGGGTACCGGGTCAGTGACAGCTAAAGATCTTGTCAGTATGTTAGTGTTTTAGCACCTATAAATGGCTGCTTGTACTGTATGCTTCCCAGGAAGTTGAGGCTGTCTCAGAATACTCTCATGTCTGCTGGAGTAATAGAAGTATTGATTGTGAAGCGCATTGGGCTTGCTGTTGAGTGTGGATTTGCACTATACAAATGCTATCTATTATTTATAAGACAAACCCAAAACTACCTTGAAATACTTTTTGTCTTTTAAGCAGAATGCACCAAATTTTTGTACAGAATGGTGTTCAAAAGGCAGTATGGGGCAAGGAAATGTATAGAACTTATGTACTTTATAGGCGTTGGGACATGTTACATATTTTTGCTTGACAGGTCTGCGATAGAGAGGTAACAAAAAATTCAAAGGGAACTTTGTTATACTGGTTTTATTTTAAGAGCTGTTTGTGCAATTTCTCACTGTTCTGCTCTAGTCATCAGTTAATATTTGCCATCTCTCTCTCTCTCTCTCTCTCTCTCTCTCTCTCTCTCTCTCTCTCTCTCTCTCTCTCTCTCTCTCTCTCTCTCTCTCTCTCTTCCCCCCCCCAACCCCCTTTTTTTCTTTTTTTTTTTTTTGGTTTAACTTTCAGCCATTCACACCTTGTGCCTCGCAAACTAGTAGTGCTATGTCTCTGATGGTAGAAGTGTGAAATGTTTGTTCTCATCGGGCATTTCACCTTCTCCTGTCCACCTTTTTTCTTCTGTACTTAAAAATTATCTAGTGTTCTGTGTATTGTATTTCAAGGACAAAACTATTCAAGTCGACCAAAAAAATGTTTTCCATTACTTTTTTAGGAAGGAGAGACAAAGATTGAGTACAGAGCATGGAATCCTTTCCGTTCCAAACTTGCAGCAGCCATTGTAGGCGGTGTTGGTGACATTCACATCAAGCCAGGTTCCAAAGTGCTCTACCTGGGTGCTGCATCTGGTACCACAGTCAGCCACGTGTCGGACATTGTGGGCGCAGTAAGTAGCAAGGATTAAATGGAAGTGAGGGTGGTAATGTCTTTGTTCTTGTTAGAGTGTTAGAGCCATGCTATTGGGTCAGTCAGCAAAGACCCTTTATAGGTTGAATATGGTGAAGTTGTAAGATATCAGTGGATCACATTCACAAGACCTTGGGATTCAATTGGTGTGATGGATAGTCATTGCTCCTCTCGCAAAGGAATTGGGTTGTGCTCTAACAAATGGAGGGGGGGGGGGGTGGGGTTCCTGACAGGTTGAAGCACTTCTACTGCCACCTGTGAGATGTGATGTGGAGGAATGCAGAAGATGAAGTGTTAAACTAATTTTTGGGTTCATGATTTAAGTGTAGTTTATGTTGGGAGGGGGGGGGGGGTTCTGCTTTATTCTCCACTGCTGGGTCCAAGGGGTAGTGGAAAGGTATTTCTTCACATAATGCAACATGTCATTGCCCATGTAGTAACGCCGGCTAACCCACAAAGTGTAAACACTTTTTTCGTTCTGCAAATGATAGCAAGCTATCCATTTCATACGTTGAATCAAATTTAGATCTGAATGCTCCAAAACTGAACTACTCGCTGGCTTCTAGGTTGCTGCAAAATGAAACTGATTAAATTGTTTATTTCTTCTTTAAAATTTACTTCACTGGAGTTACCTCGTCTTATCATAAAGGTTACTTTGAAAATGCCAGCAAGAAATGGGAATTTGAATCTTGGGAAGCTGCCATTTTCAAATTCACCCGAATTAGAGAATTAATTCTACTGATTTGAGTTTTTCCAGTTTCATGAAGCTAGGTTGAATTCTACCCAGGCCCTCTGGCCTGCTACTTGGTTATCATTATCTTTGTATTTGTTATTCTATTTTAGTACATTTAAAATGAAGTCGTAATCTTCCAGGTTATCTGCAAATATTTCAAGTCTTCTATATGGTTGGTGTGGGACAAGCACTGAAAGGTAGAATAATCAAGGACCTACAGGGGAGGATGATACATTATAACAAGAAGGGGGGTGAATTTTCTTCTTGAATCTCAAAGCTCTTCTGATTTCTAATTTGGATTTTTTAAAATTGCTTTAGTCTCACTGTTTCATTTGTGTTATCAGGACGGACTGGTGTATGCGGTGGAGTTCTCTCACAGGAGTGGTCGTGACCTGCTCAATGTGGCCAAGAAACGGACCAACATCATCCCCATCATCGAGGACGCCCGCCACCCGCACAAGTACAGGATGCTTGTCGGTGAGTGTCTTTTGCAGTGTGTGCTTTTGCCCTGAGAACTCATTGGGGGGGGGGGGGTACTCTGGTGGTGTAGTCTGATCCATCAGTTTCAATTTTTTTTTTTTTATTCTCTCACAACTAAGTAAAGTCATATAATCCCAGTTGAAACTTCTTTTCTGTGGGTCTTTTGGCGTGGTGGGTTGTTAATGGGTGTGCTAGTTCAGCCTTCTTCTTTCATTTAGTTTGTTTTTAGCAATTTTAGTGTCTAAATCTGTACCTGATAAAATGTGTGTAAACTAGGTGCTTTATTACTTTATTGAGTGTCATATAGTACAATGAAGTTGTGTTTGAATCCTGTGAGTGCTCATTGTTAAGGGGATGCTCTGGTGTGGTTTGCTCCTCCTTTCCTGTTAAACATCTCTCCTTGTCTTATGTCTGTTACTCTTTAGTAACATCTCTCCTTGTCTTATGTCTGTTACTCTCTAGTAACATCTCTCCTTGTCTTATGTCTGTTACTCTCTAGTAACATCTCTCCTTGTCTTATGTCTGTTACTCTCTAGTAACATCTCTCCTTGTCTTATGTCTGTTACTCCCTAGTAACATCTCTCATCTTTGACACTTTATGACGTTGTGTCGCACGTGCTGTAGAAATGTTTGCTAAAACAAAAACTCAATAAGTTTTCCGGACTTTCCTCCCTCATGGCGCTATCATTTAATGGGATAGAACTTGTAAAACTTAAATATGACTCACGGTGAGTTTTCGTTTCATTTTCTCTTTTCTGCAGGAATGGTGGACTGTATCTTTGCTGATGTCGCTCAGCCGGACCAGGCCAGAATTGTAGCCGTCAACGCCCACAGCTTTTTGAAGAACTCAGGACATGTTGTCATCTCAATAAAGGTACGTTTCTGTCAATAGTGACTTGGTCTTATGGGCTGTGCACCTAACTTTCTGAGCAAGGCCTTACAAGTGGCAAGTCCAGGGTTCCAACTTTTCTGGTTGGTCCATTTTTCTTTGGTACTGTATTACCTTCAAGAGACTGGTCTAACCAAATATAAGAAGTTTGAGCAAAGGACAGGTTTTATTGATAAAGGAGTGAAATTACAGTTTAATGTGCTGATCACTGTCAAGTTCTAGATTTATCTTGCTTTTCATGAAAAAATATCTTGAATACAAGACAAGATTTGAGAGTTTTCTTAGAAGTTAAAATATCTACTTTTTTTGTTGTTGTAAAATCCACACAGAAATGGTGATTTTTTTAAATGTGGTCTCGCCTGCTGTTAACTGAAAAACATTTTTTTAAAATTAATAAAAATTGCCAAATTGGGTGGGAAATGTCGATTTCTTTTGAGTTTTGGGGGGGTTTTGTTGTTTGTTTGTTTTTTGGTTTTTTTTGAGGAAATGCTGATTTCACCATGATGCCTTACATATTTTGTTTTATCGTCCAGGCTAACTGCATTGACTCAACGGCGGAGGCTGAGGCTGTGTTTGCTGATGAGGTGGAGAAGATGAAGAAGGAGAAGATCAAGCCCATGGAGCAGCTGACCCTGGAGCCTTACGAGAGAGACCACGCAGTCGTCGTCGGCAAATACAGGTACACACATTCTTATAATTATGAAAATAATGGTAATTTATATAGTGTTAAATCCTTAGAGAGCTCTAAGCGCTTTACAATGCAGAATTATGGCTTGGCTGATGAATCAAAGGACAGAAAATGTGCAATGGTGTAGAGAATGGTCACATTTTTTCGCTCAGATGTTTGTAGCGTTGTAGGTGGATAAATCTCCATATTTTTCTTTCACTTTTTCCATCTCTTGCACACTTTCTAAACTACGTTTTGGTCCCTTCGTCTTTATATTTCCATTAGTGCTCTGTGTGTGGTATGGGCCTACTTTAGACACTGCCGGTATCAAAATGTTGTTTTGCTTTAACCCTTTCAGCCCCAGCCATTTTTTTTGCACTCCCTAACCCCGGTCCCAGCCAATACAGCAGTATATTAGAAAGAGAGGCATGCTTTCGAAAAAGTGATGTAGTATCTTTGTATTTAGGTTTAGATAATAAAGTGTAACAATGTTTAAAGGTAAATAAATAAATATTATGAAAATTAAACTTTAATTGGGTTAGCTAATTTTTTTTAAATGCGCAAATTCGGTACCCCCTGCAACAGAATATACGCTCTTGGGAGGTACTGCCGCTGCTGAAAATATACGCGCTTGGGGCTGAAAGGGTTAGCACACCCTCTTCAAAGGGGAATGTGACTGCAGTCTGTTGTTGCTTTGGGGTACTCTTGGTTCTGTAGAGCTAGATGCAGCCATGAATGTATTCCTAGTTTGGTATTTGTGACTGAATCTTGGCAGTAAGTTTTAATGACTGATAAATAGCATGACTGCCCTGCTGTCAAGGGAAATAATTCTGTCTGACTAGACAGAGGACAAGGTTACGGTTTATTTCCCTTGGTCCCCTTGGTCAAAACTTGTTGGTGGTGTGGCCTTTTCTGTTTCCTGTATGTGTGCTATTGCTTTTCCGCTGAGTTGTGTAGGAGAAAGGGATATCGGTGTGTGTCCCTTTGGCAGTGTTGAGGTTTTACATTGATAAGGACCATACAACTGGTGGTGAAATCAGGCTCGTCAAAATAATGAACTTGGAGAAAAAGGCGATTTTTCGTGGGTTTTGCAATTTTTATCAAATTTTTCATGTCCATTTAAAAAAACATATCTGTGGAGTTTACTGAAAAACGTTGGCAAAAGGCGAAAACAATTGTAAATTTTCAGTTTCCCAGGGCTCTCCAGCAATGGAATTCGTCAAACTTTAGCCTCCATTTCCTCTTTATTTGTACCTTTAAAACCAGGTTACCCCCACCTCCTTTAATATCACATATCTCGATTTCTATGAAAGATATGTGGTTCATTTTTACACTAAAAGCAAAAAAAAATGAACAAGCTTTAAGGTGATATCAATAACTTCATATGCCCCAAAACTGACAAACACCTGATTCCACTGTATTGTGACACATGTGGTTTTAAATTTGTGCCTTTTTGTGCATTTGCATAACCTGGCAATAAACCAGGGTCAGTTTACTGGGGCCTGACTTTATGTACGTATTTTTTCATTTCTTATTTGGGTGTGCTCGATTTGTTATTTATATTATCCTCTTGTAAAGACATTAGGTTTTTAGGACGCTTGGCTTGACATGAAAAAATAGAAGACTAATGAGTCGGGGAACACCATGATTGCCTATATATCTGTTTCAGATCTGTTTTTTATGTATGATTATCCACTTGTATTGTTCATCATATAGGAAAATGGGCACTCTACCAGGGCTCGCCTTTTGAAAAACCAAACTTGCTGCTTTCTCTGAGGATGAATAAAGTAAAAGTTGCCATTTTTCTTTTCTTTCAGGCCTCCTCCCAAGAAGTGATTGTTGCTGTAATTCCTTCATCCTGTGTTCATTGCCATGCACTGACCCGACGATGGCGTATGTGGTGCTGGATACTGACCACCCGGACCTGGACATTCGATTTCCTTTCCAACCTTACTAACATAGAACAGCAGCTCTGTAGCAACAGGAGTGTGTTTAGATCAGAGGAGTTTTATAAAATAGAAGTGCCTGATGAACTATTGTTGTTGTGATCCTGCCTGCTTTTTACCGCTTTTGAGACCTGACATTTTTCATAGCTGACTTTTTGTGTGTGGGGTTTTTTTTTGTTTGGTGCTGGCTTACCAAGTCATACATTCAAAGGACTTGCTCTGAATATAGCGGCAGAAAACTTGCTTAGTGTATTCTAAGATTACACTTGTGAAATTAGCAGTTCAAGAGTTGTCCTTGTTTGGAAACAGCATCAGTGTGACATTAAACTTCTGTATGGGTAGAAAGTCACTGTCACCTTCAGAATCTTTAAGAATTTTGATTTGGGGTGGGGTTGGTGATAGCTAACTTCGTACAGAGAATTTAGAAAAATGTTCTCATGGCAAAGCTTTAGGTGGTTAGCATTCAGCATATTGTTGGTCTAAGTCGGCGTCTTGTGAGTTGCAAGAGTACTACATTGTTTTTATGAAAATTTTCATTTCATCCACGTCTGCCATTGCCTCATCATATACCATGTATGTAAATAGCCAGCTCACATGTGACAGATCATTCTGAGAAATAAACGATGACACAATAGAAATGTGTGTTGTTTTAAAATCCCTTTATGTGTGTGTGTGTGTGTATGAGTTTGCTCACTTTTTCATCAGCGGGTGGTAGGTGGGTGCCCTGGTGTGGTTTGCTCTTTCTTTCCTGTCAAGCACGTGTTGTCCTTATCTCTCCTCCTTTATTTGTATTTTACTCTCAAGTAACACCTCTTATCTTCAGCATTTTAACTGTTACTAAAACATTTTTTAAACGATAAAAGCTTTTCAACCTGCCATAGTCTCTATCTCAATGTGCGTATTTTCTTCTACAAAACATAAAAACTCTCCCCTATTCCTCATCCAACCGGTAACGCTTCTCTTTCCCTTCCCCCCTTCTATGCAGTAGTATGTAAACATCTGGTCTGCTTTTCGTTTACATGTACTGGCCTTATTTTTGCAATGTCTTTTTTTTTTAACACTGAAGGTAGATACATGTATTTAGGTTTTCTAGACTGAAACCCAGCAACTTCGAGTGGCTGAGGGGGAAAAACAGTTTGAGAGTCCTCAGGGGAGAGGGCAAAGTTTTGTAAGCACAAAGGTGTCTCTGTGAGATCAGCTCACTTTCCCTTTCTTTGTGGGGTTAAGAGTGTTGCCGGTTACTGGGCCGTTGATGTAGAGGGGACAACGACGATACATGTACCGAACTCCCAATATATCGAATGAAAAAGTAGCCTGTAACTGTAATGATCCTTTTCTTATTTTACTCTTGTAACTCTTTTAAAATAATTAGCCTTATTTATTTTGCGAATCAAAGTACACATCCCCATCGAGTTCGAGACACGCGGGTTTTGACCTTGCTGTAGGGGCCAATCCCTAACTGAAAGATTGCGATACTTGATAAAAATTCTCTTCATTTATTTTAAAAATCGAACCCACGTTTTCTGTGTAAATTGTAAATCGATTTTTGACAAATGGGTTCTGTAGCCTGTAGCACTCATTGTCAAAAAGAGAACGTGCAATGGACGACCTCTTGTTCAAGACAATCACCTATACAATTGACCACTTCACGCTTTTTTTTGTTGTTTTGGGTTTTTTCTTAACAATGATAGTGTCCAAGACGTTCATCTAAGACAAATACATGTATTTTTCTCAAGGACAAAGGGTGGCTTTCTTGAACCATATCGTCTGTATATTAGTATAGCCCAACCTGTTCAAAAGGCTCCCTTCGTATACTATTTTCTGTTTTATAATGGCATTGTCCAAGAGGACCACCTGTCTAATACGACCCTTTTTTCTCGTTGATAAAACGTGAGAATGGACTCGGGAAGTGGAAATGTGGGACATGTTAGTTCGTGGCCTGTACTCTGCTGATCCTGGGTGAGAAAGGCAATGATGATGGTGATGATCTCCATTCTGCTGGGATGCTGTATCTCCCATCTCTATCCCCCTCTTCTTTTTCCTCTCTCTCTCTCTCTCTCTCTCCCTCTCTCTCTCGCTGGCTCGCTCTCTCCTGGATGACATGGCCGTGACAGGGAAGCCCGCCCTACAGAATGATAGAAGTCTAGACGGTTAGAGTATAAGAGCGTATAGATAGAAGTCATTAAATGGTCAGAAGGGGACGTTCAAATAATATAATCTTACAGTTACAGCAGTCTAAAAATAAGCGCAATAGACCGTACACTATTCTTTGCCAATACATTATTATGTGAGCCCCGGAGCAATCCAGCAGAGTGCTCAAGTGAATGGTGATTGGTTCATTGTCTGTCTTCTCACTATTTTAAGTGACTCTGTGACCGTGATCCCGAGGGAGGTGAACGTGACCGTCCTATGAGTTGTGCCTTTGAATGGTTTTGTAGTGGAGCAGTGAAAGTTTTTAATTGAGTGTTATGTTCCAATACAGTATGAACGAAATTGATGTTAAGCTAACAAACAAATTTTGTACTAGAAATTAAAGCGACAAGTAAAAAGAAGGAAAATAAAACCACGAGGTCCTCCTTCACCAACCCAAAAATCCTAAAATTGTAGGCCTACACCGTCTCATTAACTCTGCCCTTGACTATCTTCAGCATGCGATGGCTTAATTGTGCACGTCCACTTTTTGGCCCCACGAGCCGCCCCTGGTCCGCTGTATTTTAGGTGCCCGTACCATTGGCACGACATCGTGTGGTTTCCGTCTGAAACATCGAGAGAGAAGGGGGGGGGGGGGGGGAGGCAGACAGACAGAGCGTGCATGTGTGTTAGATAGATGGATAGATATACAGATAGATAGAATGTTTGTTCTGTGATGTAGAAAGAGGGAGCAGAGAAACAGGGGAGAGAATCAGAAAGAAAGAATGATAAAGAGGGGGATAGAGGGGAGAAAGAAAGAACTAGAGAGAGAGAGAGAGGAGGACTCTAGACAAATAGACATATATGACACCCATAAATATATGTTTACCCAGAAATGTAACAAGCATTTTTAATTGCCACTGTTTTAAATACAAAACTCTCCTGAAGTCTTGCAATTTCGACCAATTAACGTTGTCTGAAACATTCCTGTCACCAATGATGGTAGACGAACGTTTGTAATGCCTCGGTAGTAGATTTACGTAACTCTAAATCTGCCAAGTGTTTTGAAAATCAAATATCGTCACCATGAAGTCTGGCGATACATAATTTGATTACGTCAGACACCTGATGACAATTACAACCGTCGCGCTCCTCGGCCGTCAGGTGAGAACGATGACTGCTTCACCACATGGCCCTCGGGCTATACGTTCTTATACTCTGTGAACGGAGGTGTGAAACTCTCACCCCCTCTTTGACAAACAAAATTGCCTGTTGACATCTGGAGAGTGCATAGATCTGTCACCTAGTCTTAGTAAATAGTATTGTCACCTGTCATTTCAATGTGTGAATGTCCCTTTAAATTAAGTGTTAACTACATTTGTGTTTAAGGCAAAAAGTCCCCAAAAAGGTGTAAGCTTACATTTAAACAGCCTCAAATTGTTTTATCTTTTCCTGTCAAAGATACTTTGTCCTTTCCTCCCCTCCTTCCTTTGCATGTTCCTCTCTGATAAGTGGGTGGTTAGTGGGTGCTCTGGTGTGGTTTATGCTCCTTTTTTCCCTATCAAACATTATCATTCTTATCTCTCCTCCTTCTTTTTCGTATTTGTTACTATCCTGTAACATCTCTAAGCTTAGAGACTACCAAATTGTGTTACAAGTACTGTTAAACTCTTACTAAAAACTTTAATCACATGGTAGTTGCTATAATGTGCTGGGCAAAAGTAAAACAAGACCCCCCCCCCAAAAAAAAAGAAAAAAAAAGCCAGTTTGCTGAAACTTTGACACACATGAACATGTGTACAACGAACAGGCCTAAATCAGATGATTTATTCATCCTCATTTTAAAGAAATTGACACTTCTTTTTTACAAACGTTTACAATGCACTGAATGAACAACATAACGCATAATTAAAATAATGTTATTACGTGTAAATCATATCATCAAAACGACACGTGTGTGGACAAAGACACATATACATCAAGTACTTTGATAATTGTGATAATAAATATTCGACCACTCGAATCTCTTTCTGTCTATTTATCTATCTACATGTATCTGTTTTACACACACACACAAATCTACGCTTACACACTCTCTATCTATCCCCCCCCCTCTCTCTCTCTCTTCACCCGCCCCCTCCCACTCTTTGTCTCT